CCTGATGAGAACGATATTCGACTTCATAATTCCAAGCGTATAGCCACACGACTACCGTAGAAATAATATAGGATTAACTAAAACGAAGAAAATGATCGTGCAGTTACCGTATAATGGCATAATAAGAAAGACAAGCAACAAACATAAAATTTATTATTGAGAATATATTCTTTCGATATCTTCGTTTCACAAAGGCTCAAACTTTTACAAGATCAACCTGTAGTTAACGGATTTCGTTCGTAACGGTGGTCCGAAGGTTCTTCCACAATTCTCGGTTGCTCAATCGTTGTAAAAACATCACGACATTCTCAGGATTCCCTTCGCGCGCTCATGTGTCTGACTATAAGTACCTAATCCACTCCTTGCATCATATCCATTTTAATCGATTCGAGGGCCAACATTCGAAGATCGAGTTTGTTTGTCGTCGAAACGAATAAGCTATTGACATACACTCTGAGAAATGACGTCACGAGTCTTGGGGTTCGCGTGCGGCTATAAAACACGTGCAATCAATTTCTGAAAGAACTGGTCCGGAGATAAAGAAAGAGAGACAATAAGGAACAAGGATGGGGAATATTGGACGCGAAGAGGCAACGCCAATCCCTTTTGGCCTTGCTCGCGATCGGAAACGATCGATACACGATCATACCCAGCCTGAATTCTTCACGCACGTTCTTCGAAATCGTGGATCAGGAAGCTGTCGAGCAGAATGCTCGGCCTTGCTTTGCCAAAGCGAGAGGACTAGAACGATCGGCAAAATTGCGAGCACAGGTAGGGAAAACAGAGACTACGAGATAAATTAGCTTCTGACACATTCGACAACGCGCCCGTCACCCTTGGACGCTTTATCGGGCGCCTGTTCGCCCGTGATGACGACGGAAACGATCTGCTTGCATGCGATCAATATCGTTTCTGAGTCATCGATGACTCGATTCGGTTCTAAAACCCCCTTACACGCCTGCCGGCCCGGACCTATCTTTCGCATTTTTTTTTTTTTTTCTCCCTTCAGTGCCAAGTCGCTTGGAAAAATCGTAGAGGAATTTGAGAACGGTTCAAATAATTTTTGGTATTTTCTTTCCTTCCTGCTTTTAAGGGAAATTTTGCAAAGAAGGAAATGTAGTATAATTCTTTCTAGGAGAAAGAGTCGCCTCTAAATTATATTTTATATTTTATATGAATATTTTACTCAACAAAAATCAAATATTCTTAATATGTTGAATAATACAAGCCATAATTAACCACGACATACCAGCACCGGTAGTAGATATTAATTATCGTTAAAAAGTAATTTCTGGATACTTGAAATTTCATTTATTTTGTCTCGTCCCTTTTTCAAATGTTAATCGAAGATAATATCAAATGTCTTGGAATTAACATCTTTTGACAGTGAATTCATCATTAATCCTTGTCGGTTACTCTGTCCTACAATGCAACAGCAAATACACTTTTAATAATAGCCTGGACGTAGTACCATAAATTAATAATTACAGCGAAGACGATTGATTTAGATACGAGGGGCCAAATCGACGATTGCGTATCTTTAACGGAGATCGCGCGAAACAACGCGTCGATCTTCGGGATCTTCATCGACGATTAATCATAAAATTGCGAAACGCGGCTAATAACTTTAATTACCTCTGGCGTTCACCCGTGCATGTTGACAAGCGAGAATTACACCTCGCTTGCCACAGTGTGGATTTACGAGGCGCACCGGGACGAAGAAAGGCGAAGGAATCCGGTGGGAATCGAGCAGGATTGCGCGTTCAAAGAGACTGTCATTTTTATCGAACGTAGATATTCTCGAGTATACTCGAATTTGATTCTACTAATCTTCGAATTTTGTGAAAAGCTCTGTTATTTTCTGCGACACCTCGAATTTCCTTCTCAAGTTCTAAAATATTCATCGAGGAAGAACCATAGCAGAGACAGGAAATACACTTTCGTGAAAAGAGATCTCTTCCCTGATCTACACACGCGTAGATTTATATAAAAAGTCGCAGCCGAGTGCACACGCGAGAGAAGAATTTCCACAATTTCTCCGCGCGAACAAAGCCGCGGGAAAGAGCTCGAAGTACCCCTGTCACGGAGTATCGTTTTTTCCGGGAATTAAGTAGCGACTCGTTTGCCGATTGACCATTATCTTCGCGCCCGCGATTCGCGGGCGTGTGCGCAACCTTGCGATTACTCAATAATGTGTACCTCGCCTCGCCGATGCCTTTCTCTTTGTTATGAAAAATTCGCGCGCAATTCGCCAGGTCTGGCGCTCTCTTACGTCGCGTGGACGGAAGGTCACGTTGTTAAACGAAACGTGGGGGAATAATCAAATCTCGAATCCTTTTCATCCTCTTGATAAAAGCGACACAACGCGCGCGTCCGTGATCGATTTAAGATCGGTCGTGTCGTTTCAACTACGGCAACGCGTTCTTGCCTTGAAGAAACCGGAGGCTGGACAGGTTGTTCGTCTCTCTGGCGATGTCTCTCTGGCGATCGTTTCGTTAGATCACGACCTCGTTAGATCGGCGAGCAGCTGAAAAGGAAGAGGCCAGGACGGAAGCGGTCCAAGTCCTTGCCAGAAATAGAGCTCGCCGAGCTCCTGTCTGGCTCCTGAGCGGAATATTTAATCGCCGGCTGATCCGAACGATCTAATTCCCGCGCCGCGTCCTCGCTCGCGTGACTAACACCGCGAGACGATACCGAGAAACCATTAAACCGATTCGAGAACCTCCGCGTTCGATCTCGAGAACACACGTCGGTAACCAAAGACGAACGTAATCGTGCAATTGTACCTCCACGCGCCATTTTACGTTCTTCTTCCGGTCCTTTGATTTTTTTTTTTTTTTTTTTTTTTTGGCAATCAAAACAACGAGACGATTCTTGGAAATTCCATCGTGTTTTACGACAATCTTTGATATGACATTGCACGAAAAGTGCGAGTCTGATGAAAACGTTTGGACAACACGGTCGTCGTATTGAGACGTAAATCCAGGATCCCGTGCGGCACGCGATCATCCGCGAAGAATCTTCTTCCACTTCTCGTGACCCGGATTCGAAGTCGTGATTCGCTGTTCTAATGGGACGTTATCGTGATACGTTAGTCCGCGTTAGGGATCACCTGGCTGGGAATCTGCCACCCACGCGAACCACCGTGCCTGTACCTATATCGTCGATTATGAAACGAGAATTACGCGGACGACGATCGCAATAAACGAGCAATAAACGAGCTCCAATTTCCCCAACACGGATAAACATGACACGTACCGATTCAATTATCAGAATTCTCGAGGGTGATTCGAGAAAAATTTTGCCGCTGGGAATTTTCGTGGGAAAGTCGGCTCAGATCTACGGTGGCTGATATCGAGCTTAATAAATGGTTCTGGTGATTATTTTTTTTTCTTTTTTTTTTTTGAATTGTCAACGTAGTACGAGCGAGGAAGCACGGAGTCACGGGATTTACGAGCACGTGCTCGGTAATATTTTTCGAATTTTTTTCAAACAGCAATGAGCATTGAATCCACGAGGTTCGCCTTGTTTAAAAAGATGGATGGAAGTGTCAAGATTTTAATTAACGCGAACATTAACTTGAGAACCACGGACTGGCGTCTATTCTTAGAATAGAATTGCAAGGAGGAAAAAAAAAAAAAAAACATTTCCTTCGTCGACGGTTTATCGAGACGGTAGATCGCGCGCTCGCAAGAATTTCCTGCGGTCAGAGGGTAAATAAGAAAAGTCGAGGGTTTTCGAGAGAAGAAACCTGACGCGTTCGGCTGCCACCCTTTGGCTCGTTCATCAATAAAACATCCGCGAGCGAGATTAAAAGGACAGAAAAGGAACGAGACCCTCTCGGCGTACCTACGCATACCTGCACGAAAACGTGGAAACAGGTTTGCGAGCAAGAGGATCCGCTCCACCGTGTATGTCATTCCGAAGCCCACGTAAAATCCGTCGGATTAATACTCGTCCAGTCGTGCAGGATCTCCCAACTAAGTGTGTGTACATGTGTGTGTAAAAAACAAAATCGGGGGAAAACCTGGTCGAGTCAAAATTCGAGATAATTCGGCGGGATAAGATGGAAAAAAAAGCATCGCGATAACCAACGCGTATTGAATTCCACGAGAGACGCAGAAAGCGTATCGTCCACCGGGAATCGACCGTAAAGATTACCTTCTCCGTCGAGACGGCCCAGTGGAAAATAATTCACCGGCACTCGTACGAAACGTGCCGTTTAACACTTCGAGTGCCGCGTGTACCAAATTTGGTATACGGTGAACCTCAGTTGCGCACGCCATGTAAAGTTTCTGCTTCGTGCAACAACTTCTTCTTCTTCGTTATCTCTTAAAATATTTTTAATACGAATGGTGTTGTTCTTTTTCTTTTTTTTTTTTTTATGTTACCTAACGTACTTTCTGGCTTCGACGTTTATTGTAACAATAAATAAATTACGAGCTCTCAGAAAAGCTAAAAAGGTATATAACAGATTTCCGAAATTTCGACATCGTGTACCGTTAGTGGTGCACGCGGCATTTTGAGACAGTTCGTTCAAAACTCGACGCTCGACATGTTAAATAAAACGTCCACGATAAAACAGATTTCCTTAACTCGGGTAACACAAAACCGAGACTGAGAGTGAGAAAAATGTGCGAGATAAGCGATGACCGAGTCGTTCCTTTATCGTGCTTTTATCCTGAGAAACGCACGGATCAGACACTCTGGGTTCCGGATACAGGGCGCGCGCAAGCAGAATTCTCGGTTGGTCCCTTCCCTTATTCCCGACTTCGTCCTTGCGCCTAGACTTGCCACCTTCGCATGTGTGTGTTTCTGGTGGACGCGTACACGCGCGTAGTCCGGGGAGGAAGAGAAAAAAAAGAAGCGATCGTCTCGGCCGCGGCCGTGGAGTGCGCCGCGGAGAGCTCTCGGCCGCATGCAGGTTCGACGGTGCCGTGAGCGCGTTCGCTCGTCGTCTCCCTCTTGGTGGGAGATACGAAGGTATAAAACCGATCTGGCCGACTGCTGGCAGCCAGTCCAAAGGCCAGATGTGGCGGCGGCTCTAGTCGCACGCGTGCGAGAGAGACCATCACGACACGGCGTGCGGTACTCCCGCTTAGAAAACACACGCACCGCGAATAGTCACGTTCTGTGACCGGTGAAAAATCCCTTCGTGGTTCACGCTACCGGCGATCGCCCAGCCTTTCGTCTGTGAATTCGTGCGCTCGACTCGACTCAGCTCCCGAGAAAGAGAGAAGTACCTCTGAAGGGAAAAGGGGAGAAAGAAGAAGAAGAAGAAGAAGGGGAAATCTAAAGAGAAAGAGGAGCATACTTTCGTCCTGCTCTCTCAGATCGGAAAACACAGAAAGAGAGAGAGAGAGAGAGAGAGAGAGAGAGAGAGAGAGAGAGAGAGAGAGAAAAGACGTCGAGAGAGCTCTTGGCTCTCTAGAATTCGAGCAGGCTGATTGGTCGTTCAGTCACGAAGCGCAGAGAACCGAGAGGGAGAATTTCTTTTTTCTTTCCAAGGGTGCAATCGCGGTCCGTTTCTTGTGGAATATACGTGCAACTGTATGAGAGAGATCACCAGCCGTTCACGGGAGTGGTGATAAACGGAGAGTGCGGCTCCTAGGTGGAAATCTACCTTGGAGGAGACCTGGAGGTCTAGAGGCAGTGTATAGGGTATATAGAAGTGATCTATCGAAAGAGAAAGAAAGAAAAAAAGGGGGACGAAGGAAACTAGAAGACACCCTGGAACATGTCCGGAATCCGAATCAACGTGGAAGAGGCCTCCAACGACGAACACGAGGATCTTGTACCTGATGTAAGTCCATCATGAATTACACGTTAAAGATTATTTGCAGCCGAGAGCCGTCTCTAGGCTCTTCTCTAGCCGGCGGAAATCTAGAAGACAAATGATAGGCCGGTGTACCGCGGAACTTCCCGTGGTCCTTCTCTGTAACTATCTCTCTGCTTTCTATTCGTCGACTCCTTCCGCAATTCAGAAGTCTCGATTCCTCTGCGGCTCGACAAGATTTAATCACGATTACCGAACCGTTCGTTCGGACTTTCACGATGCAAAAGCGAGTCACGTTGGCGAGGTTTGTTTGACAGACAGCTGGAAAATGTAATAGGAGACCGACCGTTGGACCGGGCAAGTTGGCTCGTTGTCAGTCGAGGATAGAGGAAAGCTTACCGATAACTTTCAGACGAATTAGCTAAAATCGTAAATCTCTCCGTATTCGTCTAGTTTCTAGTGATTAGTGGCTTTAGGCTGGTTACGTAAAGCAGGCGTAAATTTTGAGGAAGCGTGCGAGAAAAATTTCACGACGTTATCCAACAGGAACTAGATTCTCCGGATTTGATCGTCGATAATTAACAATTACTGCTACTCTAGTCTTCTGTTCTATTTATTTATTCATTCGCTAATGAGAAATGGTTGAGAGTACAGTGAAAGGTTCGACCACTATCGGGGAAAGAAATTATAAAACATTCTATATAATAGAAAACTGAACAACTGTCCCGATTAATCGATATATCCCGGTAAAAGGCGTCGAACAGTTTAGGTTCACGGGCAACGTGCGCGTGTGTACGACCGCGTAACATCGCGTTCACCGCGAATACTTGATTAGTCTGACACTCATCCCCGATACGTTGCGTTTATGTAACGCAAAATCGAGCACATCGTGACGCCATTGACACGCAGCAGATAGATGTTGGTTGGGAAACGAGGAACAATATAGTTCTCAGATATTGATAGAAAATACCGCACGCGAAACCTACGTGTGCGAATGACACAGTGACGAATCGCGTACAAATTGCAATGTATGCGAATTGTGCAATCAAACGTGGCTGTTACGACCGTTCGTTTGTCAGAAATTCGTCTGGAACTTCCCCGCGATAAAGAATCGAACGCCGATTGAATCGAGGTCAGCTCGGTGCGTCTGTGAATTTTAACCTCTTCTTTCATCATTTTTCGAAGAGACTGTACACCTCTGCTCGAAAGTCTTGGGACAATCATTACCGTGTTGCAGAAAAATTGAAAATTAAAATGAGAATTGCCGAATATATTTTGTAGCGAGTGGATCGAGAAAATGGGACGAAAATTGCCGATAAAGACGAATTTCACTTTCGTGCCTACAGCGATACCTAAACTTTAAATACGATCTACTGAACCAGTCAGTTCCTTACACTTTTACGAAAAAGAGATCACTGATCACATTTGAAAGAAAACGAAACAAGTAGAACCGTCACATGTCACGGTGGGACGTGTAGGCGTTTTACGTAGACTGTGTGGCTCGTGTTGGAAAACGATTTCCATAATTCTGTAGCTTCGGGTTGATTCTCAAGGAGCCGAGTAACCAAGCCACCTGTAGGCCGTTTCTCACATTCGTGTTTCATAATTCTTTCACCGTCCTAACGTTTACGAGCTCAGGTTGCTTCTCGAGGCGTAGGGGAACTCTCGACAATAATTTTCAAACTGAAGTTTGCCGCCTGAACTACGATAAATATGAGAATTCATATCAACTTGTTGCAAAGATTTTGAAGAAAAAAAAAAAAGAATTTTCAATTTTCAAAAAAAAAAGATACGAAATTAACAGTTCGAAGAATTTTTTTAATTTGATAGATTAAATTAAATTTTTACAAATGTAAATGAAGCGCGATAGTAGAATTCTAGTAGTAGTAGTAATTAAAATTCATTAATTCTTTTCACCAACTATCACTTTTCATTCGCATAACAGAAGTTCGCGTTCTGGCAAGTAGATTCAGTTAACGAGATTTCATTATCATTAATCAGACGCTAAATTATCGTTCCAATAAACAAACGTCGAATAAATAAAACTCCAATGTACGATACAAACGTAACGATGCATCGCGAACGAGGCGCTGTACCCCACAACAAGTGAGTTATTAAGTTCAAGATTATGTGCAAGGCAACTTTCCTAATTAACAGGTTAAATATCGACCGGTTGAAAACATATTGGCGAGAAGAATCTTTTGCAATACAACGACGTCTTGTGTAACTTGACTGATCGGCCTTCCAGCTGAGTACATTAATATTAGGAAGGAACTTAATCGAGAGGAAGTTATCTCGATCCCACCGCGTTCACCTTGTACGAATTCGATAGCGAAACTCGGCAGAAAGCGGCTCGTGAAAGGTCAGAAACAAAGTGGCCGCTTTGACTAAGTTTAAATCAACGAGATACGATTGTTTACTCGAGATCAGCCCGAGATTCACGAATGAATCTCGTGACGCAGGCCGCAAAACGAAGAAGCAAGAAACAACTCGTGTCGATTTAGAAAAATGCGTGCTTCGGAAAAATTGACTAAAGCCGATAATGTTGGAAAAATTTCGTAGGAAAAGTTTCCATACAACAATACAAAGTATTTTTGATGGATTAGAAGTGTAGACTAAAAATACAAATTGGCGTTCTTAACTTTCGTTTACCAAATCGTGCAAATATCGACAACAACCTTCGCATTAATAAACGCAGGATTAATATAATTATCGCCGAAGCGTTCTCGCAGTGTCGAATTTTTAATCGATCCGCGATGTATCTCGCATTTGTCAAACGAGAATTTTCAGCGTCTCGAACAGTGGAACATAGCTATCGAGCTGAATGATTGAGCGCCCGTATCCACGAGAGATTAGAATACTAATTAATCTACGTGCGAAAACAATTCTCAGTCGTTGACCTTAGCAGCTTGGAACTCGCGCTTAGGAGGATTCGAGGATTTCACTTTCTACCTTGATATCTGGAAGACTCTGAAGTTTAATCTCCTTGCTAGTCATTAATCGGCGACAAAGTCATTTGTCTACTAAAAAAAAAAAAATTCGAAAAATTCGACGATATCGAGGATGAGCAACAAAATTTTTCGATTTGTTGAATCAAGGTCTGACGCAAGGACGCTGATCGACAGGAGGGAAAAAGTTTGGTGCGTTTTCGTCTAAGGTCGAAGCAGAGAAATCGATTTTGCAATATGGAGTGCTTTCTCTTGTTGCATGTAAATGTCGCCTGAGGGAAGGAATTCACGAGATCGCGACATTGATTCGTGCAACGCTCACGGGTGCCGTTGTTGTGACAGCGAGTTTCTTTGGGAAACAAGATCGTCAAAAGAAAAAAAAAGAAAACACATGTTTTTCTCGTTAATTATTTCCAATAGATAGAAATTATAACAAGAGTAAAACAGGCACAACGAATTTTACATTAAAAGCGATTAAACTGTCGAGTATATTTTTTTGCGTAAACGAACGACAAAAATTAATTTCAGATCTTGATCTGCTACTTGAAAACGATTATTAATGGATAAGGATGACAGAGAAATTCTGAAACACCGGCGGCAACCAGCGCTGTTATATAACTCCTCTTCTCCTGCTTCATTAGGGAAACAGATTTCGTTAGGTTACGTGATAGAAACGACGCGTGTCAAACTTTCATTCTCTGCTTCAAGACACCGCGATTATACCTAACGGATCCTGATATTCCCAATTCACAAGCACCCCCATCTTCGTAGTTAAATTCACAGGACTGCGCAGAAAATCCTGTCACCGACGACACAGTGATTTTCTAATGGTACTTGATCATATTGCGAAATATTAATTATTATTTAGAAACGAATCTTACTTTCGATGAGTAACCATTATACAAGAGTCGTAAAAACCAGTATCCCCACATTTTTCCACGCGTCATTCGCGCGGCCAAGCAAAGATCGTTTCGCTGATTCGTCTGATCGTGACAAGCCGCTTCTACTTCGACCGTCTTCAGCCGTCGACGCGTGACGTTATCACACACAGCTCATCGAGAACGAAAAAAACAAGAGGAAAAACCAAGTCGAAGAGGAATAACGAGGTGGACGAACGTCGTCTGCAAGCTTTCAGTGCTAGATTAGATTTCTTTACGTTGTAAATGCAAATGGGGGCCAGAGAGACGATCGTTTCCAAACGACCTAGAGAAGGTCCCGAGGATCGACAAGAGGACCGGCAACAGGTTCTTCCAGATCTGGAGGAGCGTGCTCGTGACAATTCGCGCCGATGATGGAGAACATAATGCCAGTATCGATCGTCATCGACCATCGTTATTATCACAGCGTAACGAGGCTCGAGAGACGGTTGGAAGACGCGTGAATAATTTGCGAAAAGAACTGACCGTTATGAAATCAATGGATTCTCTTGGTTGGATTCGGTTGGTTTATTTATAGCCTCGCGCATCGCGTTGATTTATGGATTTTTGCGAGGACTTTTTCTTTTCGGCAAGAAAAAATCTCAAAGGCGAAGAACGTTGGATCGAGCCAGAGAGGTTCGAAGATTGGTTTGAATCTCGGTTTCGTGGTCACTGATCGCGACAAACGAACGGGATCAAGGATAAAAAGTTATCGGTCGTAATGATGATGATAACGAATAAATCGGTCGTAATAGTCTTTTGTGCAAGGAAGTTAGAAAGCTGTCGAAAGTTACAAACGCACGAGCAGGATGGTTTTCGCGTATAGCGAAATTTAGATAAACGAAATGGAAAGTTTTCGTTACAACTTGTGCCTGTTGTTTAGAAAGATCGCGATCTTCTGTAGAAATCGGCGATGTGATCAGAGACCGAACGTTTAATTAAACACGTTTAATTAAATTCCTGAGGGAGAGGAAACATGGAAAATTAGGGCTTTTCGTAGATAAAAAGATAACAAGAACTGAGTCTCCGATTGTCGCGGCCGGTTTTCGAGGAAAGATTAATGAAGACAAACGATCGGCGAATTCGGCCAGAGAAAAGCAAGGGAGGATTAACCGAGCGTGCAAATCACTCGGACTAATTAAATTTGCGCGCGTACGCTCGG